TACACATAGATATTATACATTAATATTGATATAATGTAAACATGTGTCATATATTCAGCCTGTGCAAGGTGTGCATACATACATACTGTAATATATATACACAATATATATATAATATGTACATTTGGAAGAATTTAAAGATAAAAACAGCTTTTTTTTTATTGAATTGGTGAATTTGATGACTATTTCCTTTGTCTCCTGTGCCCCGCCCACTATTATACTCCACCCAATCAGCTACGAGCAACGAGAATATATTTTGCATAATATGTCCCTCATCCAATCACCTACGAGCATTTACACGGTGTAGCTCGCTTAATTACCCCACAGCCAATCAGCGCGTAGAAGGGCGGGGCTAACTCGCTGGTACCAGTCACTCGTTGCTTCTGCGTCCAACGGCCACATTTCAAACTAGAATGGCGACCGCTGTGTGCGGTCTGCAGTCCAACGGCAGCAGCGGGAAACCGGCGAAGATTCACCGAGAACACCGGCGGAAAGCGAAGGACTCGAAGCGGAGACAAGCGGCTCTGTTGTTCCTCAACAACATCTCACTCGACGGGCGGCCCCAGTGTCAGATAAGCGATGAAAATACCGAGCAAGAACCCGCCGAAGAGCAGCGACTCAGGGACCGAGACGGCGCCGCGGTCGTGCCCCTACCGGCGGACTGCCAAGGACCGGCGGCCGAGGTGACAGAGCCCGCGGCGGGGGGCAGCGGCTCGTCCTCCGGTGTACCAGCGGTGGTCAGTCCCACCCGGCTTTCTTTGGTAATGTCTCCAGGACTTGCTGTGGGAGCTAACGAGGTATTTTTGGAGGGTGTCAGTGCGGCCGAGACGCTAACCCCGGACACCCCCATGTCCCCGGTCCCCGCCGGACACCAGCCCTGCTCCCGGGTCCGGTCCACGCCCGCCGCACTGAGCCCGGTCCCGGCCGGTAATTCTGTGGATTCACGACCGAGGTGAGTTTATGAGTGGTCGGTGTCTCAACCCCGGGCCTTTAAAAACACAGGCTGCTGACTTCCGCATACAGTGAAACCAGCACTTCACTTTCATGTTAATAATGTTCCAGTTTTTCACCTTTTTAACCTTTAAAATATGTATTTTAATACCAGGTTTAGTAAATAGTATGGATATATCGATACAAAAATCAATATAATTCACCACAATGTTATCTGATAGTTTTAATAATGGCTGATTAATAATTGTTGGCCTGTATTATTATTATTATTATTATTATTGATATAATTCACAGTGCTGCTTTAAAATGAGACACGACTCTTGTATCAGTAAAACCATATAAATCCTGACCCTTCTGTAAAAGTAGGGTTTGACCCTCTGCTTTGCTTTTTACTACCAAACCTCAGATGTAAAGAGTCTGAAGTTACATTATTGACATTATTGAAACGCTCTTTTGTGTCTTTTCCTCCTTTTTTTTTTTAAAATCTCTTCCCAGGTTGAGGAACGTCTCCGGTTCTCCTGGACCCAAGGTGCCAAAGAAAGTCCACTTCATAAAGAGTATGAGGCAGTACGATACCAGGGGATGCAGGTCAGTCTTTTACATACACAAATACATTTACACGCTACGTTAACTTATGAGTAATTCCTCCACACCAGGTTTCCTGTCAGAGGAACGTAAAACAAACAAACAAACAAACAAACAAAGGCTGTTTTATTTTGGATCTGAAGGAGGCCTTTAACTCACAAGCGGTATTGTAATAAGCAGCTTAGCTCTGGCAGAGAGAGACGTAGTTTGGGCTGCTGTTATTTCTCTGCAGTCCAAACTACGTCTCTCTCTGCACAGCTGCTGCGTGGTGAGTGCCACGGTGAATTTAATCACCCTTGGAGGCTTTGCTGAAAGCCAAAAGAGGTGCAGCGTGGAAATGTAAAACCCTGTTGCACCCACAGTGAGTTAAAACCTAGAGAAAGACGGGACTGACGGTTCGGCTGGTTGGTAAACAAACAAACGAGAGTGTGGTAAAGTATTTGTTTGTGTTTGTTTCCCACTCTGTGTGCAGGGAGACGCCGTCACGTCGTGTTTCTCTTCCCACTAATCAAACTGTGTGTTTACATTTCACTTTACCGACATTTCATATCCACATACATGATGAGTGTGTGTGTGTGTGTAGCTGTGTGTGTTGTGTGGTGTGTGTGTGTAGCACGTGATGTGTGTGTGTGTGTAGCAGTGTGTGTGTTGTGTGGTAGCTGTGTATGGTGTGTGTGTGTGTGTGTGTGTAGCAGTGTGTGTGTGTGTGTGGTGTATGTGTGTGTACGTGTGTGGGGTGTGTAGTGTGTGGTGTGTGTGTAGCTGTGTGTGGCGTTGTGTGCTGTGTGTAGCTTGGTGTAGTGTAGGTGTGCTGTTGTGTGTGTGCTGTTGTGTGTGTGTGATAAGCATGTGTGTGTGTGTGTAGATTGTTGTGTGTGTGTAGCGTGTGTGTGTGTGTGTGTGTCTGCCCCACAGTTACTTTACTGAGCTGCAGCAGAAAATATGTCGGTTATATAACTAACAGTAATTAACAGAGTAGACCTTTCTGTCGCGGTGTCTGTCCTCCTGTGTGGTGATTGTGTGTGTGGTTGTTTGTGTGTGTCTCTGTCTGTGTGTTGTGTTTCAGTGATAAATGTTGTCGTTCAGTAGTCTGAAGTTCCGTCCACGTTGTCGCCAGAACAACAGCGTCCTCGGTAAACAGTTTGTGTCTCTGAGTCACAGCGATAACATCAGACTTTTCTAAAACCAACACAGACTTTAAAAACCAGTAGCAGCGTTCTGAAAGTTTTTCTGAATCCTTACTAATTTAATAATCGATAATATAGAATAATTTCAGTGTTACGTTGTAGTAAACTGAACATCTTTGGGTATTGGACTGTCGGTCAAACAACATAAATGATTTTAAAAATCACTTTAATATTTCTGATGTTTCACAGAAAACTAATATAAAGATATATTTACGAACCGTTGTAGGTTCAGTTTGTAAACATCTGTTGGCATTGACTTTAATATTATTGGGGGGTAAAATAGGGATTGTTATGTCTTTGTGTTACCGTAGAACGAGACGGGTCACCCTTCAGTATCTCTTAGATAGTTGGCTCGTGTTTTTGTTTGTGCGTTTTTGCAGCCGGCGTAGTTTCTCCTTCCCACGCTTGAAAGGAGGGTGAAGCTGGTGAGTTGCAGCTACTAACGGCCAGATGAAACTCAAAACCTACTGCGATTCCAGTATGTGAAGATTACATCTCTGAGAGGAAAAAATGAATTGTGATAAAAAGACGGCAAAGAGTTTCACTGCACAAGAGCGGAAGCATGGCATTGTTTTGCAGAGTTCTTACCACAGACATTAAAAAAAAGGGGTTGTGTAGTTTAATAAAGAAAATATGGTTATTTTTTTTATAATTCATTCAATTAGTTGTTCGGTGTTGTTTTGTCAGCAGTCCAGAACTGAAGACAATTCAGATAATTATATATAAGGACTAAGAAAACCATGTTGGAAGCAGAACAGTCAGTTTCGGCATTTCCACCTTAAACACTTATCAAAATAGTTTTGCCAGTTAGGTTTTCTATAATTTTAAACCTCTACTTATCTCTGTGACTGCGAATGTTCTGGTTGATGCATGGAGGAGGCTCTCAGGTTCCCCCCCCCCCCCCTCCTGCTTTGAGCTCGAGATGGTCGTTGAAAGCTGTTTGGCTCCAGTAGCGATGCAGATCAACGGAGAAGCGGCCCTGTGACTGATTTCGCCGCCACTGAAGCTCCAGCGCTGATGAATATCGTGTGTACAGTAGCTGTTGAGTAGCAGTAACTGTAGTTGTTGCTTGTAGACTGACACACCATCTGTTCTGTCTGCCTGTACTTGCTGTGTCCCGCAGGATCGTGCTGATTTGTGCCAAGCGGTCGCTATACGCTGCTTTCTCAGTGCTGCCCTATGGAGAGAGTGCTCACCTCAGGTACAAAGACAGCACCGACCCCAAGCAGAGAGCACCCACCCCTCGCTTTTATGTTTTCATCCTGTGTGAACCACCATCATCATCACCATCATCATCATTCTCAGCAAAGGGCAGCGTGTGTGTGTGTGTGTGTGTGTGCGCGTCGATTGCTGAAAATGACATTATTCGACTCTTTCTGAACAGTGATCCTAAGCTGGAGGCTCAGAGACAAAGGCTGTCTTCTGTGGTGGCCGCTGACCTGCTTCCTTGCCTGGAGGGCGTGGAGCTGGGATCCTGCGGAAAGGTAAACGTCGCCCCTTTTATACGTCGCTACGACGACGAAACAGAGATACGCTCCCATTACTCGGATGAAAGCCGCTCGGTTTTGTGTCGTTTGTCCTCCTCAGACGGTGTCCTACGCTCAGTTCCTTTACCCGACCAATGCCTTGGTGAGACAGAAGAGCGGCGGCCCGCCAGAGAACTGCGCGGCTCAGACCCCTCAGTCGCGTTTCCGTGGCAATGGGCAGAGGAACTTCACCCCCGCTCGTCTGAACAACAGTGTGCCGCAGGAGCCATGTACGGAGCCAAAAACACAACTCGTTCACTTCTCCACCGTTCAACCGACATCAGGTTTTGTTACATTTCTTTCTTTGTGTGTGTTTCAGGTGTAGAGGAGGTGACGGAGTACGATCCTAACCTGCTCAGCGACCCTCAGTGGCCCTGCGGGAAACACAAGAGGGTTCTGATATTTGCATCATACGTGGTGAGAGTTTGTTCCTCTACGCTGATTTATTAAACGTGTAAAGGAGAGCGCTGTTGTACTTTGGTTTAGGGGCTTATAGTAACCTGTTTTCTACTGGTGAGTGCATCAGCTGTATACAAGTGTGTCTGTAAGGAGATAAATAACATGTAGTATGTTCGACTAAAACTGAAACTATACTGAATCTGCAGGGCTTCAAAATCCTTTAATTCAGTTTCCTTAAAGCCAGGGTGAGGACTGTTGCATACAATTAAACATCCGACATTCAAGCTCTTGCTAAACCAGTTCACACAATACCATCACAGCCAGGTGAATTTCTCTGTATTTCACAGTATGAACAGGTATTAAGTTGTTTTCTTACTGTGGCCCTAAAGTCTTAAAGGTCCAGTGTAACATTTAGGAGGATCTATTGGCAGACATGGAATATATATTCATATTCATAGGTATGTTTTCACATTCACATGTTCTTTTTGTTACCTTAGAATGAGCCGTTTATATATAAAGAGGGAGCAGGTCCTCTTCCATTAAGGCTGCCGTGTTTCTACATTATCCCAGAACAGACAAACCAAACAGAAACCCTGAGCTCACACAAAGCAGCCTCCAGAAGTCTGTTTCCACTGCTCCACATCTCTGCTCTCTACGTCTTTCCTCTCGCTGCACATTAACACCAGAAGAGAAGAAAGAAGCCAGGATGGATGCAGTGTTTTCTGTTTTACTACGGTTAAAATCTTTAGTGCACATACGGACTAGGTCCAGTTTAATTTGACTTGTAAATTGTTCTGATACAGCTTGTAAAATGAAGCAGTTTCCATCTTCAGAATAAAATACATCCATTCTGTCCCGCTCACATGATTTTATTGCTGCTGAGTAGATCATGTCACATGACTGAAACCTCTAGCATGAGAAACGAGCCGTACAAAGACCGCTTATGAGCAAAACTGTAAAGCTTTATTGTAGCTGTGATTCACGCTGGCACGAAGCCACTTCTGCTCTGACGTTCTGGTTTGTTCTTCATCTCTGCAGACGACTGTTATTGAGTATGTGAAACCATCAGACCTGAAGAAGGACATGAATGAGACTTTCAAGGAGAAGTTTCCTCACATCAAGCTGACTCTGAGCAAGATAAGAAGGTAGATATATTAATTACATTGCCCCTTGGATATTCAGATTCTCCTCCGGGAGCCTCTTGAAGCTCGTTGTGCTCTTTGTGGTTTTGAAATCTTCCTCAAACACAGTGCACACATTCACACTCTTTCTCAGAAAACTGATCAGTAACTGTGCTTCCTCCTCTCCACTAGCCTGAAGAGGGATATGCGGGCCGTGAGCGAGGAGTTCGGTCTGCAGCCGGTCACCACTGCGATGGCTTTTGTTTACTTTGAGAAGCTCGTGCTGCAGGGTCGCCTCAACAAGCAGAACAGGAAGCTGGTGGCAGCGGCGTGCGTGCTGCTGGCTGCAAAGATCAGCAGTGATCTGAGGAAGCCAGAAGTCAAACAGCTCATTGATGTGAGTTTCCACAGAAAGAGATCTCGGAGTAGGAACATAAAACAACCCTCTTCCGGCTAATAAGAGAGTGGAAAAACCTGTAACACACGTAGCGACTACCGCAATGTTATTTACCAAACATGATTCTACCACGCCCGATATTACTGTGATAAGAAAGAGGAAACATGCTCTTCGCTATACAATGCAGGTAAAGGCTCCATTGATAGAAGCTGAATAATGTTGAAGAACCATCATACTGGACTCTGACTGATTATATACTGTATGTACACTGTAGGGAAGTTATTTATTATTTATAATCATTTAAGACCCGACCTGCAGCCAGTGTTTGTTTTGTACATTCTGGGCTACTGTACAAACACGGTGGTTTAACACGGCAGCCTCCACACCACCGTGTTTCTATGGTAGCCCAAAACAGACCAACCAAACACTGGCTGTAAGTCGGGTCTTTCACGAGTTTTGAGGCCACCTTCGTTTCTTTACACACTTCACAGCCCGTTCTCGTTCCCAGGTCGTGTTCAGTTAGTAAAACGTCACCGATAGACGCCTTTAAATCACACACACTTGTCCTTTAAGGCAATTTTAAACGCGTAGGAATGGCGGACTCTGCCACTAACAATTAAAACTATTTATAATGGCAACCATAAATAGCAGGAAAATCATATTTCATTAAAATCTTACGTATTATATCTTTTACATGAGTTAGTTTACCTTCATTTAGCGGCAGAGGACTCGTCTACAGTTAGAAAAGTGTAAATTAATTTATAATTCTTCCGTTTGATCCCCTCGCCTAGAGAAAATTACAATGTAAAATTGTTAAGTTTATCACAAATCACTATTCTAACGTTTATTTAACTAAACAAAAAACATGAGTAATAAACAATAGACAAGAAACAGGGTGAAACCCACTTCAGTATTTCAGTGTGTTTGATCTTCTGCATCTCTTTAACATTTTTAGACTCTAACCACATCACACCATGTATTCCTTTAAACCCTCCCCTCTTGTGTTTCTCCACGTGGACGAGCAGAAGCTGGAGGAGCGTTTTCGTATAAACAGACGAGAGCTGATTCCTCTGGAGTTCCTGGTGCTGGTTGCCTTGGAGATGGGACTTTACCTCCCCGAGAGCAAGGTCATGCCGCACTACCGCAGGCTGGTGCAGCAGGGTTAAGACTGGATGCGGTGATGTCTGACACTCCGGCGGTTTCATTAATAACATCAGCAAGTTATGTGTGTGTGGTGAAGTAATTAGGACTTTGAATCAGAACTGATCGTGTGTGTGTGTGTGTGTGTGTGTGTGTGGACCAGTAAATAAGCTGTGGTGTTTGAAACAGATGATTCTGGTACTATTTATTTTCTGTTAGTCACCAACTGTATATGTGTCTCCCTGAATGTCTTTTTAAGCGTTTGTACGTGTGACGTTCTGATGTCGATCCAGTGATGAGCTCTACGTTAGAGATGTTCAATGAGCACGTTAATTGTGCTTTTATTTTGGTGTCTCGTGACCCTTTTTTCGGTACATCCTGTTTATTCTTCACCTACTATTTAAATGAAATGTAACGCTGTGATGTTTTGTTTGTGGAAAACTCTACTCCTGCACCTTTTTCTCATTACTATACACCGTCTGTATAGTATTTATTATAAAATATAAAGAACCATGCTGTTGATTTTTTGTAAATGCCTTTTTAAATCCACTGTGACATTGCAGCATTTTTAGCCATTAACCTGAAACATGATACTGTAGATTGTGGGTGATCTTTTTTGTTTTGTTTTAGTATGTTATTAGAGGAATGAAGTGGCCTTTTAATTTATGTTAATTCAATATTTATACGTCACATATTGTTCTTGAATAGAAAGAAAATATAAATTCACACTTGTGGCAGCTCTGTGTTCAGACTGATATACAGTATAACCACTGTGGTGTCACATTTAAGGAAACGGGATTGTGGAGGCGTATTATTTTAAGTAAATTGTTGTTTCATGTCGTTACCCAGGGATATGTTGTTTTTTTGTAAAATGCACTGGAATTTATTTCTCAATAGTCTGGCTAGTTGTTGTCGTACTTTTCGGTTCTCAGGAATTTTACTTTCTCATATCTTTTGAATGGCTCATAAACTCTAACCCAAAGAGAAGTTTAAAAGTTGTTACTGTAGCTCTATCACTAAAATCACCTTCGCTCCGTTATAGGTCAATGGAAGGTGAACTGATTGTAGTGCTTCAACAGAACAAGAAATCCAACCATTGTGACTCTTTTTAAGTATGTGAACAGATGTTATGTTGAGTTGCTTCTACAAGTGCTAGACGGTATTAATCTGACTGCAGCACTCGTTGTGTAGTAACTCTTCTGATTGGGAGGCCATTACGTGTACAAGTATGGAAGAAGAAAAAAAAAAGTGCCTAAAAATGCAGTGGCAGTGAAATTGTTAACCATCTAATCATGTGTGATATTTAGCGTTTGACATTTCGTAAGTCTTGCTGCTGTAGAGAATCTTTTTAAATGTTGAGGTTGTTCTTGTCTGGGGAAGATAATGGACATTATGGTGATTCAGTCTGTGTCTGCAGTGGTGAAAAATGTATTACAATAAACGTCCAAATGTGTGTAACCGCAGAAAATGTTCTACTTGTATGGTTGGTGTCAAATGCGTGAATATTCATTGTTTTCATACTGTAAAATGAATGTTTTTGAAATATATTTTCAGACACTGAAAAGTAATTGTGAGTGTTTTCTTTTCAAAGTCAAATCAATAATTTATAGTGTGTGTGTGTGTGTGTGTGAAGCTGTTTTTGTCTCTTTGGGGTGGAACAGTTCATAAAACAGTCTTGTTTCTCATCACTTTACTATTCCCTTGTGTTTGGACAACAGACTTGTAGCTGAAGTGAAGGTAGAATACATGTTCATTCAGATAAATTAGTAGATATTAATTCAACACGCTGCTGGAGGATGAACTCAGCATTAACAGCAAAGGGAGGGTCTTAGTGACGCTTTCTACTATAACTAACCATAATCTTTAACCTTACTGTGTAATAGTTACAAAACAGAGGAAGCAGCTAAATAAATACATTAAATAATAACATTAAAGAGTTCTTAGTCCAAACTCATGTCTTCGTCGTCGTCCTTCTTGTCTTTGGAGTCTCCGTCCTGGTCTGACTTGGTCTCCGTTTCCATGGCTTTGGCAAAAGCTTCCACATCTGCAGTGGTGGAAATGTCATATCAATTAATGTGTAAATTAGTATCTTAATTTAAATGATTCATTAAGTATAAAAGATATCAGCCCTATATAGAGAGGGATTATCTTGATTTAGCTTGTTTTAAAAAAAAAAACAAAGTGTCAAATAAAATGCAGCCAGAACTTAAAATTTCTCAGAATGAATATTCAAATATAAAAAAAACAGAAATATTTTTGACACGTTTACAACATAATAGACAAATTAGAGGACAATGATCAGACAGATTTAAAAATATTAAGTTATTTTTAAACCAGAGGCTGAGAAAATTCACAGTCCTGAAAAAAAACTTTATGTAACTGCAATCCTGCTAATTTGGTTTCATATTAATAAATGTATGAAGCAACTGTGAATGAACATTTCATAATTGATAATCCATTAAGTCTAAAAAGTCATAGTGACTTGATCATTTATTAAATGGTGAACAACAAGAATTAATGATTCATCCTTCAATAAATCATGAGCCACACATTAGTTAAGCATTATTTAAGTATATAAATTGTACCCGTATTACAAAAGTGTTACCCAGTGTTCTCAGTGAACACAAACATTTGATTGAGCAGTGAAACAAACAGTTACAGTGTCTCTGCTCGATGTAGGCAAAACACTGACCTCCTTTGTTAGCCGCGTCCACAGCCTCTGCAGGCAAGCCAAACTGGTTCATTAGAGGACCCAACTGCCCGGACGCCAGGGCGCTGCTGAACATGCTCATAGCCTGTGGAGACACAATAAATACCAAAGACCACAAGTAGATAAATACCAACAGAAAGGGAGCCCTCACAATGACCAGAATCCTGCTAAAAGGAGAATATACTATCTCATTTCACACGCTGCGTCTGTGCCCAAGGACAGGAAAGTGTTGAATGTCAAACACAGTCATAAGCTGGAAATATGAGCCAAGAGTGGTTTGTGTATTTATCACATATGCACAGGCTGAAACTGCCAGAGGCGGGACCCAGTCGTTGTTGTGGAAGTCATAAGGAAGTCTTTGCACTCAAGTCCAGAGTCTTAGACTTTGAGTTTTGAGTCCTAAACAAGTCATAATGTGCTCTTCACCAAATGTATTATCATTTTAACAACTGAACAGACAAAACAGTAACGTAGCTAAAGTTTCTCTCCTGCAAACCTGATCGGATGCTGTCGGATTGGTTCTAACAACCTGGGAAAGGAAGTGTCAACTTGCCAGAAATTAATAACAATAGTTGATTCAGGAAATAAAGGGAAGTTAGTTGATCCCTGGCACACCTTTTAAATAACATACGTTTTAATCTTTGGACTTGGGGGGGGAAGTTAAAAGGCTTAAGTCCAGGTGAAGTCACAAGTCATAAGTGTTACAAACAAGTCGAGTTGCAAATATTTTTTATTTTATAAGTCATAAAATTTGTGTCTCAAGTCCACAACTTTGAAAACTGCTTACCAATAAGACAATCTGATGCAATTGTTAGATTACTGTTTGACCTTAAATTTCAAACATCTACATACGTCTGTATATCAGAAATAATAACTAAAACAATACCAGGCTGGTATTAAACGGCACAATATAAACTTTCCCAGAACTAAAGGAAGAAATCACCAGTTTGTCCCCTTTTAGACGACATTGAGTTACGACCTGACTGGAAACCACGGAGGGCGTCTGCCAGCGAACACTCTACCTGCTGAAACTGAGGCGAGCTGAGCGTGTTGTGGAGCTCCTCTGTGCTCTGAGGCAGAGACTCTCCAGAGGGAAGATACGGCATCAACCTCTGCTGCACCTCTGGGTTGGCCAGGATCGGGGCCATGATCTCAGGTGTCAGGACGCTGGCGAGGTCCACTGCAGGTAACAGACACCACCGCTGACTGGTTAGTCTAAAAACATCTCTTCCACATTGTTTAACCTACTGTTGTAACTCACAACTTTTCATTATAATCAGAATATAAATATTTCTGTTCTTTCTTTCAGCCTTTAGATGATGGGCAGGAGTAAATGTTGTGTTTTTATGTATTTTCTCTGTTAGCTGACCTGTCTGACCTACAGTCAGAGTGACTAAGCAGTTCAGTGTCATTGGTGCATTCAATTGCAGTGGGGAATCTTAGCTCTTTAGTCACAAAGCTTTAAACAAATAACTAGTTTTAAGAGAATTCACATCCACACAAACAAAGACACACACTCACGTTGCAACTAATTAGAATTTTCATTAAAAAAAAAAGTTTGTCAATTAATCTATTTGTCTATAAACTGTAATAATAAACTTTTATAATTCCAAGAGCCCTCTGATTTATTATTACTCCAGAATATTTTCACATTACTGTTTGAAAAATTACGATTTACTTGTCATCAAAATGTCTTTTGATTAATTCTCTTTTCATTACAACTCTAAGACACAAACACTGTGTACTAGCAGCACCCCGACAACCACCTTTTAACAACGCAGCACCCACCAGGAACTCCATAGCAACCAAAGCTTTTTCACTGAAAACAGCTGCTGGTGAGTAAATCAAAACCATGAAGTTGAGGCTATAAAATAAAAACGGGCTGAAACTTGTTATAGAGATAATTCTCACTACGAGCAACCTCTTTTATTAGTTGTGTGATAAGTTAATTAAAAATTCTCTTTATAGGCGCTTTAACTCCTCTAATAGCATCTATAACACCTCAGCTAATTTCATTTCTATTCCTACACCTTCAGCATCCTCTCGTATGTTTTTAATGTGAATCAGCAGATTCAAAGTGAGGGTGATAAATAGTGTCCGTGAAGCAGGAAGGAGAGTTGTGCTTAATGTACTGTAGCGACAGACGGTGGTATTTGTAGGGCGTTCCTGCTTCTGCAACAAATGTAATTTATTAAGTTAAAATTACACAGTATTACAGAGACTGTTGTGTTCACAAGACTAATTATTTGCTGCATAATGAGTTGAAATTACACTAATTAGACCTAATTATGTATTTTCCCCTCTGGTGGTTATTCTGCTTTTTGTCTTCTCTGACTTAAGGAGCGTAGTTTTCAGTCAGCCTGGAGCTACGTTCTCTACGGTCGGTCCCTCACCTCCCTGGCCGCTGGCCGGCACGTTCATGGTAGCCAGGATGCTCTGCAGGTCTCTCAGCTGGATGGGCTGCGTGGGGTTGGCTGCCCCCGCTGCCAGAGAGGACACAGCCGGGGTGGACGGGGTGGTGGCCGTCGGGGAGGCCGCTGAGGTGGCGGAGGGAGTGATGGGAGTGGTGGGCACCTGGGAGGAGCCGAGCCGACTGGCAGTGGAGGTAGAGGTGGGGGTGACGGCTGTGGACGGACTGAGAGAAGACAGAAATTAAATGAATCCAAGATCACTTATTAAAACAACCTTTCAACATGAGGCATGAATACACCAACCTGTGATTTTCTAGTTTTACTAATTTCCCTTTAAAACGACCAAATCTACTTCTGCTTCATTTATTTCGAGGTGAACTTGTGTAGTGAAGTGTTTGAGTCATTTTTTAAGCGGAAATGTAAAAATATACTCTGGTATATGCTGACATCTCCTGCTTCTGTTTGTTTTATATGAGAGTAACTGAGATTGGGCCCTATCTACAGCCAGTGTTT